GCACTTGATTTTTTTTTGTCTGTTTCCATTATCAAGTTTATTCATAAGTGAATTTGATATTAATAAATACAAAAAAGCATCATTCACAACAAAGATAACCAAAAAAACCCTGCAATAAAACCTTCTATTTTAATAATATCAAGAAAAAAACCAGGCAGATGATTTGGTGGAGCTTTCTTAAGGGATCATAGAGGGATGTGGTTTTAAATAAAGATGGCAAGATCAATAACCAACAAACATATCAGTTTTACAGAACTGGCTGATTCTGTAACATTTCTCTTTGAGGTCTTAGTTTTAAACTATAGACCACCCCAAAGAAGTTGCAACTAATGACATGTATCACCACCACACCAACAGAGTCTGGCTGAAGTTYAAATTAGTCTTGCTTTGTTTCACATCATTTTCAATATTTCTAGCATACGACATGATACAGAACAAAACTCAAAGAAGCAATAAAAATATTATTCTGCAACTGAATAAAATGTTTTAGACTGTTGAACTTTTAAAGCTTTAAGCATTCCTGTTTAACCAGCATTTAAAAAAATTTATACAATCGTAACACTGGCAAAGGTTAATGGGAAGACAAAGAAGTACAAACATGTGAAATGATGAATTAGATTTAAAAATTACTTTGTATTGATCAATTGATGTTAATACTGTTTCTTCTTGAATTTGGAATAACTATCATAAAAGTTACATGCAGATTGAGGATAGCCCTCTGTAACAGAAAATATAAAACAAAACAAAACAAAAAACTAAAACTGGGAAACAATGGTTATGTTTCATAAGGTGTATTTGAGAATTTCCTTTCATTGATGAGGGTAGTCTGTCTGTCCTTTCTTAGAGATTCCTGGTTACTTTGATGAACTTCACTAACTTTGTCCAGAAACATCAGTAGTGGGATCAGCTCCTCCAGAACCTGTTTGTGCACGTTTGATGTAAAGATTCAGTAGCTTCATCTGTGGATGCAAGTCAAAGTATGTCATTTGAGCAAGCAACTAAAATTATGATATGATGCTCATTAAAATTATTATATACCTACATGTGAGCTTTGAAGGTCAGATTTTAGGATAGGTGTATTCATAATGCTTAATCTATTGCTGATAAAAATGTTGTAGTGATAACACAAAAAACATTTAACTTATAAGAAGTCACCATTAAAACAAAAACAACTGGGCACAAGCTACATCATGTGCTAGCTGCTTTACATTACCTCTTTATTTTCACATTTTATAGATGAGGCAATCAAGATACAGAATGGATAAGTAAGTGCCTAAGGTCTTAGGGGTGGGTAAGAAGTGGGCCAGGACAGAAACCTAGGCATTTGGCTCCAGGACCCAAGATCTCAGGCCACTATGCCACTGACATCCTAACAAGAATGTTTTGATGTCTCAATGTCATTTTGTAGTTTTTACCTATGTGAGATCAGGTTTATGTGAAATTTGTAATCAACACATATACAATTCTGTGTTATACTTTTTTCTTCTAAAGTTATTTAAAATGTTTTCCACCTATGTATTTACTTCATATGCAATATCATTACTGGTTCTGATCAAGATCTAAATTTTAATTGTTTAAAGTATGTGTGTATGTGTACCAGGGATTGAACTTCGGGGTGCTTTACAATGAAGCTACATCCCCAGACCTTTATATTTTTTGTTTGGAGATAGGGTTTCACTAAATTGCCAAAGCTGGCCTTGAACTTGTGATGATCCTCTTGCCTCGGTGTCCTGAGTAGGTGGGGTTACACATGCCACTATGCTTCGCTCCTTTATATGTATTTTCATTCTGCCTTGGTATTAAAAAAATATGACCATGGCAATGATAATCATTATGATTTTGGAAAACTGTAAATGAAGGTGAATGTATCTTGTTAGCTGGATCAAAACTCATAATTCAACTATCAGGGCTTTTGCAGTGGAACAAGCCTATAATACCAGTGACTCAGGAGGCCAAGGCAAGAGAATCACAAGTTTGGTGACAGTCTTGGCAATTTAGTAAGAAACCCTGTCTTAAAAAGAAAAAAAGTGGGAACTGGAATGTAGGTCAGTGGTAGAGCACCCTGGGGTTCAATCTTGAGTGCTGCAAAAACGACAAAAACAAAAATAAACAATCATGGTTTATTCTCAACCCCTAGAATTTATTCCAAAGTTCTGGTAGTAGCAGTAAAATGAGGAAAGCAAGCCTTATTTATTATTTTAAATCTTAAGGATTAATCATAAATTTTTATTTTTAAGATACCAAATCAGAGTTGCACATTAATGGGGTTCATAAGAATAAAGAGAGAAGATCAAATATTTGATTATTACAGTTCTTATGGGCAATTTAGAGAAACATTCAAAGTGTGCCACATTTTGGGAGATACGAAGTAATTCATGATATATAACTACAACAATCTATTTATTCTTAAATAGTTCTTAGGGAGAAAGATTTTGAGTAAGGGAATAGAAAAGGGGTTGGTTAGTGGTTATGAATAACCAGACTACATTGGCTTTTTCTTTTACAGCAGTCTGTCAACAACCATACCAAACTGCTGACCTTACCCGAGTGACAGATGTTAGGAACAGAAACAGCTACGAGCAACGTGGTACTCAAAGTCGGATTTATTAAAAGCTGAGTAACATATTTCCCCTTTCACACACATAGAACTGTTTTTTTTTTTGTGTGTGTGTGTGTGTGTGTGGTGGTGCTAGGGATTGAACCCAGGGCCTTGTGTGTGCGAGGCAAGTACTATGCCAACTGAGCTAAATCCCCATCTCCCAGAACTGAATTTTAAAGAATCCACTACCACTACCACTTTAAATCCATGCAGCACCACTTACTTTACTGCCAGTGAGCTGACTGAGATGTGGTTTCAGTTCATCACCAATTACCGCATGAACAGCTACCAGGCAGAAGACGCAAGCTTTCCGAACACTGCTCTCCGAATTATCATAACCCTAGGGAGAGAGCCCATTGTTAGTACTCCTGAGGGATCTGAGAAAATACCTTTGCAACAGAAGATGCAACTCGAAAATGAGATCCCAAGAACACTGAGGCAAGAAAACTGATGACCTAAGTTACTTTTTCAACGTCTGCAGGCACAGATACAACCTTCTCTCCTCCCACTTCACTGCGCTCTACTCTACTCCTAGGTCTCATTATCAGGTTTTTTCTTGATAAGCTGCACTTCTCTGATTCTGAGGTTGCTTCTTTGCCACCAAAAGTCTCCAGATGAGCCTTAAAGAACTTAGCTTCAGGGCAGCCAACAGCCTCTCACTATCTAATAAAATATAAATTCCTTGGTTTGGCAGTCAAAGTACTGTCCTATGATTGAAGCCTAATTATGTCTTACATCTGTCCCATCCCTGTGATTACCTTCTCAAATCCAGTTTATGTAAACTAATTCCCTTATGCTTTTTAAAAATTTGTTCTTTTTGGATACACATGTCAGTAGTGTGTTTTGACATAGATGGACATAATACTTTTATTTTATTTATCTTTATGTGGTGCCTTACACACACTTGGCAAGCACTCTACCACTGAGCTACAACTGCAGCCCCAATTTCCCATTCTCTTTGAGAGGGTACTGGGGTTTGAACTCAGGGGCATCCGACCACTGAGCCACATCCATAACCCTATTTTGTATTCTATTTAGAGACAGGGTCTCACTGAGTTGCTTAGTGCCTTGCTTTTGCCGAGGCTGGCTTTGAACTCATGATCCTCTTGCCTCAGCCTCCTGAGCAGCTGAGATTATAGGTGTGCACCACTGCACCTGGTTCAACTTGCCATTCTTGTGTTTGTACATTTGTACATGACTTTTAGTTACATTAGTGTGTATTCATACATGAACATATGAAAGTTATGTCTGATTCATTCTAATCTTTCCTATTCCAACCCCCCTTCTTCTATTCATTCCCCTTTGTCTAATCCAATGAACTTCTATTCTTCCCTCCCTCACCCTTCTTGTGTGTTAGCATCCACATATCAGAGAGAATATTTGGCCTTTGGTTTTTTGGGATTGGCTTATTTCACTTAGCATAATAGTCTCCAGTTCCATTCATTTACCAGCAAATGCCATAATTTCATTCTTCTTTATAGCTGAATAATATTCCATTGTGTATACATACTACATTGTCTATCCATTCATTTGTCAAAGGGCAACTAGTTTGATTCTACAGCTTAGCTACTGTGAACTAAGCTGCTATAAACATTGATGTGGCTGCATCACTATAGTATGCTGATCTTTGCATATATACTGAGTTCTTTGCATATATACTGAGGAGTGGAATAACTTGGTCAAATGATGGTTCCAAGTTTTCTGAGGACTTTCCATAGTGGGTATAACAAACTACAGTCCTACAAGCAATGAAAGAGTGTGCTTTCTTCCTCACAATCTCACCAACATTTATTGTTACTTGTATTCTTGACAATTGCCTTTCTGACTAGAGTGAGATGAAATCTCAGTGTAGTTTTAATTTGCATTTCTCTAATTGCTAGAGATGTTGAACATTTTTTCATATATTTGTTGACCATTCATATTCTTCTATGAAATGCCTAGTTCTTTTGCCCATTTGTTGATGGGGTTATTAGTTTTTTTTTTTTGGTGTTTTTTGAGTTTTTTTTAATATATATTTTTTATAACTTTATTTATTTTTTATGTGGTGCTGAGGATGGAACCCAGTGCTTCACCTGTGCTAGGCAAGCGCTCTACTACTGAGATACAGCCATAGCCCTTTGAATTCTTTATAAATCCTGGAGATTAATGCTTTATCTGAGGTGGCAAAGATTTTCTCCATTCTGTAGGCTCTCTCTTCAAGTTCTTGATTGTTTCTTTTTCTGTGAAGAAGCTTTTCAGTTTGATGCCATCCCATTCACTGATGGTTGATTTTACTTTTTTGTACTTTAGGAGTCTTATTGAGGAATTTGTTTCCTAAGCTGATATGATGGACAGTTGGGCCTACATTTTCTTCTAGTATAGGTGCAGGGTCTCTGATCTAATGCCTAAGTCCCTAATCCACAAAAATATGGAATGCTTTACAAATTTGCATGTCATCATTGTGCAGAGGGCATGCTAATCTTCTTTGTATTGTTCCAATTTTAGTATACATGCTACTGAAGCAAGCACTCCCCTATGCTTTTTTAAAAAATATTTTGTTTTAGTTGTAGTTGGACACAATACCTTTATTTTATTTTTATGTGATGCTGAGGATTGAACCCAGTACCCCGCATGTGCTAGGGGAGTGCTCTACCACTGAGCTACAACCCCAGCCCCTCCACTATGCTTTTGATCACAATAGCCCATAGAATTTTTATTCATAAAGTATTTTTGAATCAATTATCTGAATGTATATGCACATTTTACACAAGCAAAAACAGTTAATCTCTATTAAAACCCTGATCATTTTATCCTAAAATGACTAAAGATATATTAAAATATCAATATCAGTTGATACCAGCTAAAAGAAACACTTTTTTTGGTGGTATTGGGGATTGAACCCAACATCTCACACATGCCAGGCAGATGTGCTATCACTTAATCACACCCCTAAACTTAGAAACACATTCTTCATAATAATCTATGATATATAACTGCATTCATTCAATTTTTTCTCATCACTTTGATATAATAATAAAATTAATTGTCCTTCATAGTCTTCATAAATAATGATAGAAGGTATCCATTTTGTATCTATCCTCATTTAATCACTCTATAGCGTTATAAGCTTGTTTATTTGTTGTAGTGCTGGGGACTGAACCCAGGGCCTCATGCATGCTAGGCAAGTGCTTTCCCACTGAGCACACCTCCAGCTTTACTGTTGTTAACTTAAAGTCTTTTTCCTCACAACATTACTCTTGACATTAGAAATGACACTACAAAGAATACTGAATTCATGTTCTGATATTTAATTGTTTGCTATGTGCAAGATAGGCCAGGTAAATAAATAATCTTCAGTGTCTGTGTCCTACGAGATAAAAAAATGACCCTTCCTAGAAAAGTTATGGAATCACATGGCCAGGAGGGAATGAGATAGGAATGTGATAGTCAGAATATACTTTGCAAATCTGGGCATGGTGGCACAAGCCTGTAATCCCAGCAGCATGGGAGTATGAGTAGGAGGACTGCAAATTCAGAGAGTCTCAGCAATTTAGCAAGGCACTGAGCAACTTAGTGAGACCCTGTCTCAAATAAAAAATAAAAAGGGCTGGGGATGTGGCTCAGTGGTTAAGTGACCCCTGGGTTCAATCCTTAGTACCAAAGAACCAAAAACAAAGAAAATCCTCTGCACAGAAAGGTTAAGTGGAGACCTGAGGATAAAAGTAAATTAAGAGTAAGGAAGGTGATAGAGACAGGGAAATATGCAGTGACCTCAAGAGACAGTTCAGTGTTTTCTATGAATGAAAAATTCATTATAGGAGCTCATAAAGTAGGAGGAAAAGTAGGAAGGAGCCAACTAAGAGAACTGCAGCAAGACATATGGGCTCATTCTGTTCATGGGAATCTCTGAAGGGCTTTAAAGGAAGGGTGTGATGTTAGAGTTAATTCAGAAGGTTGTCGTTTTTATGAGTACCGGGGATTGAATTTAGGGACACTCAACCACTGAGCCACATCCCCAGCCCTATTTTGTATTTTATTGAGAGACAGGGTCTCACTGAGTTGCTTAGCACCTCACTTTTGCTGAGGCTGGCTTTGAACTCGAAATCCTCCTGCCTCAGTCCCCCAGCTGCTGGAATTATAATTTTGGGCCACCTTGCCTGGCCCTTCATTAACTCTTTGAGAAACGGTCAAACTGCTTTTTATAACAGCTGCACTACTTTTCTTTTCAATCAGGAATGTATGAGGATCCCGATTTCTGCACATTCTCACCAATACTTGTTTATTTTGTTTGATATAGTCATCCCAGTGGGTGTGAAGTCAGATCTCATTATGGTTTTTTTTTTTTTTTTTTTTGGGGGGTACTGGGGATTGAACTCAGGGGACCTCAGCCACATGCCCAGTTTTTTTTTTTCTTATATTTTATTTTGAGACAGGGTCTTGCTAAATTGCTAAGGCTTGCTTTGAACTCATGATCCTCCTATCTCAGCCTACTGAGTCACTGGGATTACAGGCATATGGCATCATGGATAGCTCATTATGGCTTTGATGCACATTTCTATAACGAACATTTTTTTCATATGCTTATTAGTAATTTGTCTATCTTTTGATAAAATGTCTATTCAAGTCTTTGCTCCTTTAAAAACTGCTGTTTTGTTAAGTTAGAACAGTTCTTTATATTCTGGATAGTAGACCCTTATTAAATACATAATTTGCAAAAATCCTTTCTCCAACTCTGTGGGTTGTCTTCCTACTTTACTGATAATGTCCTATGATGCACAAACATTATTATTATTTTTGCAGTGCTTAACATCGAACTCAGGGCCTTGTGCATGCAAGGCATCACTCTAATCCCTGAGCTACACTCCTATCCCTAAAATAGTTATTAATTTCAATGAAGTCCAATAGATCTTTTTTTCATTAGTGCCTTGGGTGTCATATCTAAGAATCCACTGCCATACCTAAAGTCAGAAATATTTAACCCTGCTTTTTCCTAAGAGTTTTATAGTTTTAGACCTTATATTTATATTACTGACTCACTTGAGTTATTTATACATGGTGTGTGGTCACTGAAGTCTCTTTGTTATCTCAGCAGTCAGTAACCCGACAGAGATTTCTTTAAATGCTTAGAGCCAAAACCAAACAAATATTCTCCCAGTTTTTGAAGACTGTCTCTGAGTTGGAGTACACACTCAAAGCAGATGACATGATTTTGTACTTCTTTATGACTCAATAATTCTCCATTATGTAAACATACAACATTTTTTAATCCATTCATCTGTTGCCAGATACCTGGTTGATTCCATAACTTGGCTATTGTGAATTGTGCCACCATAAACATGGGCGTGCACGTTATCTCTGAAGTATGCTGATTTTAACTCTTTTGGCTAAATACTGAGGAGTGGTATAGTTGGATCATATGGTAGTTCTAGTTTTAGTATTCCCCTGTCCTCTACCCCCTCATACTAGGGATCAAACCCAGGGGCACTTTGCTAGCAAGCTACATCTCTAGCCCTTTTAATTTTTTATTTTGAGATAGGGTCTCACTAAGTGGTTTAGGGCCTTGCTAAACTGCTGAGGCTGGCCTTGAACTTGCAATCCTCCTGCCTCAGTATCACAAGTTGCTGGGATTACAGACATGTCCCACCATGCCTATTTTTAGTTTTTTGAGGAATTTCCATACTGATTTCCATAGTGGCTATACCAATTAATATTGCCACCAACAGTATGTAAGGGCTCCTTTGTCCCTGTATTCTCACCAGCATTTATTATTTTTTGTATTCTTGATGATAGTCATTTGGACTGGGGTGAAATGGACTTCCTTCTCTTTTTCCATTTTCACTCTTTAATCAGAACTCAGAGCTAAATTATAGTTTCAGATTATTAAATGCACAAACTTAGTGATAAAACTATTAACAAAAAGCATTACCTGAATTCTAAGAGTAAGTGGTTTTCTAGGTCAGGGGGTAGGAGAGAAAACAGGAACAAGATCTTCTCCAAAGGAGAAGGGAACCATGTTACTCAGTGAGCCAACAAAGGGTTTTGGCTTTAACTCACTAAGGGCAAGAAGGAATGTCAGTCCTGATCTTCACCACAGCAAATCAGGAACTCCAATTTTTCAAACTAATTACAGACAAAAGAGAGAAAATAACTCCAAACTGACTGACTGACTGGTCTGGATGACTAATGAAGTGTCCTATATTCATGAGTTGGTAAAAATCATTGGAGTGACTGTTGGAGAAGGGAGACTTTCATGTATTTTCAGTTGTTATAGTCTGGTAAGTGTTAGTCTTGCCAGACTACCTAGTGCCACTCCTTGAAGACCACTGGTACACTTATACAACATGTCCATCATGGTCCTGGCTGGTACAGTGTCAAGGTCATATTTTGCACCTCATGTTTTCTCAATAACAACATTAAATGCACTAGAAAGCAGAGCCAGAGAACCTAGAGTATTAGCCTAACATACACATTGCCTAGTTAGTCATCATACATAAAATCTGTACATGGGCTGGGGCTGTAGCTCAGTGGCAGAGCACTTGCCTAGCATGTGTAAGGCACTGGGTTCGATCCTCAGCACCACATAAAAATAAACAAATAAAATAAAGGCATTCTGTTCATCTACAACTACAAAAAATTAAAAAAACACAAAAAACCTGTACATATCTTGGTTTGGATCGGGCCATGTTCTGGGTTTCTTTCAGTCCTAGTTGAAGACCATTCACTATTCCAAATATAATTCCTGTCATGCAATATCCTTCAATGGTAAGAAAGGCTAGCTCAATTCTGTCCCAGGTCTTATTAGCTCCAGTTGGTAAAACTCATCTATACTGTGAACAAGATATCATGGGTCCATATTTAAAAAAGGAGACAGAGAGTTCATACCCGTTAGCAGAATGCCAGCCAATCTGCATACAAGTAACCTTTGTCACTACTTCTCCTATTGCCTTCCATGGTGTCACAGCAAACTGCCATGGCCTTCCTGCCACCTCCTCAGGTTGAGGTCATATGCTTGGCTATTGCTCCACACTAAGTGTGGAGCATTCTTACTTCTTTTGAGAAGTGTCTGTGCACTTCATGTGCACATTTACTGATTGGGTTGTTTTTTTCAGTGTTAAGATTTTGAGTTCTTGATATATTTTGGATATTAATCCTTTTTCAGAAGAATAGCTGGCAAAGAATTTCTCTCATTCTGTAGGCTGTTTCATCACTCTGATTATGATTCCTCTGCTATAGAGAGGCCTTTTGATGCTATCCCATTTGTTGATTATTGCTATTATATCCTGAGCTATTGGACACCTATTCAGGAAGTCACTGCCTGTGCCTATGTCTTGAATGTTTCCCCTAAACTTTCTTCAAGCAGTTTCAAAGTTTTGGATCTTACATTTAGATCTTTGATCCATTTTGAGTTGATTTTTGGTACAGCATCATTTGTTAAGAGGTAGTCTTATCTGTAATGTATGTTTTTGGCACCTCTGTCAAGAACTGGATGGCTCCAGGGCAAGAGGATGTATGTCTGTAATCCCAGCAAC